CAGAGGGGCTCCGGCCCTCGGGGCATTTTGGTGGCCTCCTCTGGGCCTGCTCCAGCAGCTCCGTGTCACAGAGAGGTGGTGGAGTCCCCATCCCTGGAAGTGTTCAAAAAACGGGCAGAGGTGGCACTTGGGGACATGGTTCAGTCTAGTCTACCCTTGATTGGTTTAGTGTGGGCTTGGTAGTGTAGGTTAATGGTTGGACTGGATGATCTTAAAGGTCTTTTCCAACCCAAACGATTCGATGATTCTGTGATTCTATGATTCTATGTCCTTGTGCCAAGGACATCAGTGCAAAACCGTGGCGTGATCTACTCACGCTTTCCCCCCATTCATGCCCAGCTCTCTGTCTTCTGTTTGCAATGAATAAAGTAAGATTTTCTGAAAACTTTGTTTTTACCTGCAGGCTGTCTCCATGGACATAGATCTGGGCAACAGGGTCGCTGCGGATATAGATATTCTCTATCTTCTCTGGTGCAATATATTCTCCCTGAGCAAGTTTAAATATATGCTTTTTCCGATCAATGATTTTAAGAGTCCCATTCTGTTAGGAGAAAGAAGTGAGAGTTCCCAGAGAAGTTAGTTAACCATAGAGACTCAGGAAGCAGTCTGCTTTTGACAGAGCTCTTTAAATTGCCAGAAAACTCTTCACTGACATATCGAGCTTATTCTGCAAAATAGAAACTTAACCCTTTGTAAAGCTAGATCTGCTTAGAAATTTAAGTTCAGTACTTGAAAATTTACACGGGATAAAACAATTGACAGAAGAACTAAGCCTCTGGTCAGTACGCACAGGTAACCATTTCCCGATGTCTCCAGTGTGAAGCCAGCCCTCCTGGTCCAGCGCTTCAGTTGTCTTCTCCTCATCTTTCAGATAACCTTTGAAAACGTTTGGTCCTTTCACACATATCTGCAAAACAGTCAGAGTTGCTGATAAATTACTTTATTTTTCTGCTGTAAATACTAGCAAGCTAAATAGCAATTCACTAAAATTGAAATATTTTAAAGGTTGACTTAATGGCTGTGCTCCATGAAACTAAAATATACTGCGTTATAAAGTTACCTAGGGATTTTTTTCAAACTAATGGAAGTATGAAGTAGGGAACGCAAAACTGATTTGTTTGAAGTTAGCTTGCTTGCATTCAGCTTGCGGTTAAAAAAAGTTATTTCAGTAAGTCTAATTTCTGTGCAATACAGAAATATCAGCAATGTAGAAATCACAGCAATTCAGCTCTTCTTAGCTGAACTAATTAATTCAGTCTTAGCTTTTAAAGCAATCAGGCATGGCATTGGCTGGAAGCACTGCCACAGCCCCTTTTTCATTAATGCTTTGCTGCTCTATTGCTGAATCGGCGTTTTCCTTTCCTGACTGTAGTATGTAACACATCTGCAACCACGCCCCTTACGAAGGTAAAATGCTTCTACAACTACAACTTCATACAGTGTTAGCTAGTGAGAATTTGATATAAAAATGCGAGTTGCTACCTCTCCTTCTCCTTTGGAAGCAAAATAATTCAGCTCTTCCACATCCTTCAATCTGATTAAGTTACAGGGCAAAGGGGCTCCTACATGACCTGGAAATCAAAGTTATCAAGTCACTTGTCATCTCTCCTATAAAGAATAATTAGCATTTTATTATCAGTCACTTGCATAGTTGTAGATACACTGGATGTCTTTGCAGGAGCTGTGTCTGTGTGCAGAAATAATTTCCTCATTTAAGGTTTTGCGCTATTAAGACTAAATAGCCAAATCTCCTATTTGAATATTTGTAAACCCTATTTTCAAACATGTCGAAATACAGACCACGTCTCCCTTACCTGTAAGAGACTCAACCCTTTTCCAAGCTTAACTCACTATAACTCATTATAAAAGCACACCAAGCTCTGGACCCCCGCTGTTTTAATCACCTGGGAATACCAACTGCAGCGACGTTCCGCTGAACACGTTTCCCCCCACCCCTACAGTTCCTCCAAAGATGAAGTGAGGGCAACATCTGCTGTAGCTGACAAGCACTGCTAGAGCACAACCGTGTCCAAACCAGGCCCATTTTCCCCAGAAATAGCCACTTGGAAAAAACGGACCAGAAAGAGCGGTCACAACTCTGTGTCCCAGCACTTCGTGCGCTGTAGCTTTCGCGGGCTGAGGTCTCGTTTTGCCAAGGAGCCGGATCGAAGCGCGCTGAGGATGAGGATGCGGCATCGGCACGCGAGTTCTGCCTTGCCCAGCGCTGGCCAGGGCATGGGCAGGGGCCCGGCGGGCTGCGAGCCCCGGGACACACCAGTATCTGCAAGGGGCTGGTTTTGGTTTGAAGAAAAGCAAAGAGATGGCCGCTTGCGCTGGGAAAAGAAAGCGTGTGCTCTTCTCCAGCCATGGAAAAATCCGGGTTGGGAAGAAGGAAATGTTTAACTGGCCAGACCCATTAATATCTGATGTCCAGGTTTCCTACTAGTATTCATTTTAATGAGTATGATACCCATTTCAAAACATTTTTATAAATACTGATGAATTATATTAAGAAGAAATTAAGCCGCAGTACTTGTATTATCTGAATCTTGTTTAGTGCCAATTTTTGTCTGATTTTGTCAAGATTCAAAAGTTTTGAAAACCTGAAATATAAAGAAGCATTGAGTAGCAGCAGATCTGTATTCAAAGCCTGAGTTTGCTCACTAAGTACATGACTGTATTACTCTTTTCCTTGTTCCAGCATTTCATTATAACAAACGTTCCTTTAAATTCAGCTCCAGTGCTCTAGAGAAGACTCATAGGGCTGGGAGTGCTGAGATGAGAGTATCGCAAATAACAGCTCAAGGGACAATTCCCAATCTCCCCAGGCAAACACGCCCAACGTCTGATCCCTGTGTGTTTATTCTGCACAAGTGATACTTTAAAGAACATTACATTTGCTGAAGATTATTCACACGGTGGTGAATGTCGCGTAACACCTTGTGATGTTACAGTCCAGAAGTTTCAAAAGAAATGTGTGTTTCTTTTCTTTCTGGAAATGGTGGAAGAAAAGCGTTACCTGATGTCCAGTCACCTGGGGTCGTAAAGGTGCATCCAGCCGTGCATTCTGTTTGGCCATAACCTTCGTAAACCTGACAAAGAAACAGGCATCTTTAAAGTGGGTTGTACGACTTCACTATTACAGAATAAAATTCTAAGAATTGCCTTCTGTTGCACAGTCCTGTGAGCTAATCCCGCCAGCTGCAATGCACAGGCACACATTTAACGTGGGGACACTTTCCCTGGCTCTTACTGCATACAAAATTTCATTTACGTGGCTATGAATTACCATGGCTCTGTAGAGCTGAAAATAGTGAGAAGGCAAGTTCAGCACTTAGCGTTTGAGTCAAGAAGCATGTTACTCTACGGGAGGAATTTATTAGTGGGGGAAAAAGCTATTTTTGTGGGACATTTTGAAAATGCACCTTTTAATATTTTTTTTTGCCCGATTTTAGGGTGTTGAACAAGGCCTTTTAGTTGCCTTGGGCCTCCTAGTCAAAGAGAAATAATGCAGTGGACATCTTAAACGGGCTAAATTGCCAACTGAATATTATCTTTCTCCATTTATATATAGAATAAAACTCATGTAACGAAGTTCCTAGCGCACGCACAAGCACATTTAATTGCACGTTATAAAGTGCTGAGAGGCAGGTGGCATGAGTCTATGCTTTTTTTTGGCAGCTGCCCGCAGCGAAAGCAGCGCTTGCCTGCTGGTCACCTCCCAGGGCCGCCGGCCGAGCCCACTCCAGCCCCACGGCCGCGGAAGAAGAGCTCCGGGGACTCCAGGGCTCTGCGCCTGCCCCAAGCCCTGCAGCTGCTGTTGGATGGATCCCGCTAAAGCTGTCCTGAATGCAGTTCCGAGGTCCTAACCCATCTCCTTTCTTAAATGCAGTGCGTTTCCTAACTAGCGGTAAATGGGCACCTCCGAACAGCCACGCGAGCCCACCTGGCATCCGAGGGCCGCACGGAGGAAGCCCAGGACGGTTGGAGACGCAGGGGCAGCGCCTGTTACTATCATGCGAACGCACCCACCGAGACTCGCCTGTTTGAGAGCGCCGGAAAACAGAAGAAAGCGTCACAGTTATTAGGGGTGGCAGAACCAGCAGCACCCGTGCGTGTTGCTTATACAGAACTTGCGCAAAACGCTCTCTCTAGAATAGATGCAGCTGTGCTATGGAAATATGAACTGGCTCTGAATCTTTCCTTAGGGATAAAAAGCCAGCTAAATCTGAAAAGCAATAACTGTGTCCCTCGTGGGTAGAAATAGTGCCCCAAGAAAAAAACCATTTGACATACGGGGGCGGGAGTCCCGCACCTCTTGGAGGATGAGCTGCTCAGTCTCGACTCCTGCACCCGGGCAGGCTGCAGAGCGGCGGGGAGGCAGCCTGATCCTGCAAGAAGCACATCTGGAAAACCAGACTCTTCTCCCCTCCAGATTTCTTTGCTTATTTGCACCGTCCTTTTTAATGAGTTGGCTCCCAAGCCATCTAAAATAACGCTGTCCCTTTTTTAAGGGACATGACCTTCAAATATTTCTGGAGGGTATTACATCAATTCCTGTGTCACACTTCTTTTTTTCCCCCACTTCTTCATTTCCTTTTTCTTATTCCAAAAGTAAAAAGAAAACCCAGAACAAAAGCAAACAGCTCCTGATTGAGTCTGCCAGGCTCGCCAGATCCTGACTCAATATGCAGCCTGTCTCGCCTCATGTCTGTGCTCCCGTCAGCATCGTGTGAACTCTGCTATCTTTGCCCGCTGAGGACAACTAATCCGCAGATGAAAAGTACAGTCAGTTTCTTTAGTTAAAAATAAAGTGGCATGTCTCCAGATAAGTTATCCAATTAAAAAAATGAAGTAATTGGAGCTTCTTGGAGTAGTACAGTGCCTGGAAAACCTGGTTTAAAGCCAATTTAATCTTTTTTTTTCCTGAGGAGATGTGGGGCGCACAGCAGGGCATTCTGATTTCTTTCCCCTGTTGGTAAATCGTGATTTACTTGTGCATTTTTCTCTACACCCTTCTTGTTTTCCTAGGAAAAAAAGCAGATCCTGCTTCTGGGCAATTTTGCCTGGCAGAGGGCAAGTGCCTCCGTACTGCACCATGTCCCTCCTTGGTGCCTGTGCAGGGGCACAGCTCGTACCCGAGCGCTGCGAAAAATAGGCACTGTTCTGCAAATAGGTGATTTCTCCGTGCCGCTGAAGGAGGGATGTGGCAAAAGCCGTCTTAGGCTGCCTTGTGTTTCTCCCTTCCCCTCTGGAAAACTACCCCTAGCAGAACTGAAATTTTGGCGTCTTCTGCAGGGTGTTTAAAAATAGATACATAAATAAAAACAAATGTGGCAAAAGTTGATGCAAAAGTTACTGGAACCACAAACTGTGCTCCATTTCCTTTTTCTATTCAAATTTTCAGTCTGCTGTTTGCTAGTGAGTAGCAATTGCCCACAGTTCACCATCAGGCAAGCGGACCACGCTGACTTTAAGGAAAACCAGTCCTTGCTAGAAGAAATGACAGTTCTTTGGCTTTAGACTCACTTCTTAAATCCCTTACCTGTATTTTATTAAAGAAAAGTTTATCCCACAAGCTGTCATTTCTAATGATTCCATTTTGAACTTCAGCCTTTTTCCGTTTTGCAGCAAATTCCAGAACCCAGCGCTTGAGGGATGTGTCCGCCTGGCTGAAGATCTGCGGGAGCGCGGGGTGGCAGGCAGCACGGCACCCAAGAGAGAGAAAACATCAACAACTATTCTTACAATTACAGCTACACAGTTCTGCCCATGCCAGGTAGGGTACAGTTACATGAGCGGTACAGTTACATGAGCGGTACAGTTAAATAAATACCACACTTTGGCTTTTTTATGGGATTAAAAAAAAGGAGTGGTTTGTTTTGCTGCATTTGCTATGGTACATACTGTTCCGTTGGGGGAAAAAAGAGACAGGACGATAGGGCAGGCTTTGACTTACATGCCTGGTATTTCTATATGATTTCTACGATAGGCTTCGGTGCAATCATGCAATCTGAGCAACTAGGAATGAGCAACGTGGATACTTGGCAGCCAGAGCAGGTATCAGCGCTGGCTGATGAGGCGATGGGGGCTGTGTTTATCTAAGCTTAATCAGACACCAGCATGAACTCCATCTCTGCAAACGAGAAATCCCCAGTGCCCATCCCTCTAATGAGGCGCCAGAACCCCTGATCCAACAGTCCTGACCTTGGGGAAAAATTAAATCAGTAGCTTGTGCTTAAGCCCATCTTTAGAGGTTAAGTCTTCTGAGGAATAAATATTCCCAGCTGGTCAAACAGATTTAACGTGATGACCAGACATGTCCGTCTTAAATACCTTTCAAGACCATCTCTTAGTTTTGAAGATTTCTAGATCCAAAAGCCAACCTCATATTTACACTGCCTAAATCCTCATAGTCTTTTTGCAGTTCCTGAGTCGCAGCCGTCATTGCCACCAGCAAGACATTCAAGTTCTAAAACAGGCTGAAGGGCACAAAAAGTCCTCCTGCATCCAGGTTTGGCTGGTGTTTCTCTGATGAAAAAATCCTTCGTCTCTGGAAATGTTACTAGTAACCTCAGTGAGAACAGGGTAAGAGGCTAGTGCAGAGGGGTTTCATATCAACATCCAATAGCCATGTCTGCAGCCTGGGTCAATCAACGCAATATAGACTTAGATTGGAGCAGCTCTGTCAGTTACACGGGGCAAGAATGTGTTTGCAGTAAGGCAGAAACAGTATAATCCCCTCAGGAAATCACCATGACTAAGGGAACGCTTTCACCTAAGGACTAAAGGGGCATAAACTTTATTATTGCAAAAAGAGCAAAATTAAACTCACCTTATCATACATCCTGTTTAACAGCCGCGGCACGACAGGGAAGATGGTTGGGCGCAATGCTTTCATGTCGTCGGATAAGAGGCGAATATCTCCTTGAAAGAACCCGATTCGCCCTCCATGGCAGTATACTACAGACTGATGGGAAGAAAAAGGAACGCATGTAACCTCTTCGCTTTTAATTCCCATGGCAGAGCATCCCCCCCACGCGCAGAAGTGCCTTTCCTGAAATTCTACTCTCAGTAAGGCAAAAATGGGGCTTTAGAAAAATATATAAATGTAACCATAAAGTTTGCACTGAGTAGAAATAGATGGGTAGTTCTGGGCGCTTTTCAGTACTGCAATTCAGCATCCACCAAATTTGCCACAGTTTCTGGAAGAACAAGGAACCAAAGCTTTTGGAAGGGATTTCCCTTCGTCCCCTGCATCCGGGGATGGGGATGTCTGAGTTACGGTCAGATTCTGGATCTGAACTTCTCCTCTGAAGCCCAGACCTACCATAGCAGCTCACAGCATGAGGACCTATCGTCGATAAAGAAATGCATATTAAGAAACATTGTAAAACTGAGCGGCAGCCGATTTTTAGGTGTTAATACTTTAGTTTTGTTTAAATACGATGATATAGACTACGTTAGCAAGACAGTGCCTGATCCTGTATCCCAGAAATAAAAGCCCACTTCACAAAAGGTGCTTTACTTGTATGGAAACTACAGATCCAGAAGTTTCATTCTTGGGAAGAAAACAGGCCACTTTAATCGGATCAGAAGAGAGCTGGATGTGCGGGATCAGGCAGGGCAGGCTGCCTGCCATGAGCCAACTGGCAGGTGAAGCAGCAGCTCTGGTAGTCGGTAACACTGCAGAGGACTCGTCGCTAACTTGGTAAAACTGGCATTTTATCGCTGGAGAGCATTTCGAGACCAGCATCCCTACCCTGCTTTTAGAGCGTCCTCAGCAAAGCGCCCGCGATGCCGGGAGCTGAGCCCAGCCCTCCTGAGCCCGGATCAGTGCGCTCACGTTTCGGAGCTCTCCGAGGCGTAGATGGAAAACATCAGCTCCCTTTGGTTGACTTTTCTCCCCCAAAGAACTAAACCAGTTTAAAAATTCCTTAAGAGATACTTAAGTCTTTTTGTGCTACTCCTAAAGATCTGTAATACTAACCGGAGCGCTCTCACTGCTCTGTCAACCAGTTAGAGACTGTCTCTCCATCAGCTGAAACCACAGGAATTTTATACGTGTGATGTGGGCTTAAGGAACATCACACTGCCAGATCTGCGTTTTACACTGCACATGCACACGAATCAAAGCTTTGCACTCGACACACACACAAAAAAAAAAAAAAAAAAAAAAAAAAAAAAAAGGAAAATATAATCAGTGTGCTCATTGGGAATTATAAATAACTACTAGAAATTTTTATCTTTAAAGAATGTATCTGTCTAATTTTAACTCTAAGTTCCAGGAACTAATAATGTTGGCTAAAACTAAGGAAGTTGACTATTCTGCTGTTCAGAATAATTTTGAAAACTATTTTTTAACCCTTTTGAAAAAATCTCTAGATCAACTGCCTTTTTTAGCAGAGAGGATAAACCTGAATATTCTTTGGAGGCCTGCCCCTTTCAGTATGGCAACATCCTGTGAAGTGAGGTTATTTCAAATGTTTCTAATTTTGGTTTTTCCCCCCTCAGATGACTTTTTAATAATTATATTCTTGTTTGCTGGTGAAGCGGATTGCCTGAATAGTGGTGCCATACTGACCAACTCGCCTTCTAAAATTGAGCTTGCAAGTAAAGATAGGCTGGGCTGTAATTCTCCAAATCTTTCACGGACTTTCACTTCCAATTGGCAAGTTTTTTAAAAGGGCAGAATATCTTATTTCTGGCACCGTTGTTACCCAGAAGTGGGAGGCTTATATTCAGATGCTTGTCTGACTTAGACTTTCAGCCTGAAATGGTCCTCCCGGAGAAAGTACAGAGCTGCAACCAAACCCAGATCCAGTCTTCAGATACTCAATCATCGAATCATTCAGGTTGGAAAAGACCTTGAAGATCATCCAGTCCAACCATTAACCTGACACTACCAAGTCCACCACTAAACCAATTAAGGGTTGGATCGTTTTTTTAGTTCTCAGCTTCTTAGGCCAGGAGAACTGTGGTGTTCGTCTCCCCTGCCTTGCCTAGCACACCCACTGCCTCACACATCACCTGTCTTTCAAGAAAAGAGATGTGAAAAGTCAGTTCTGCGGGCTGGCAGGAGTTAGCGCTTCTATTTGCTGTTATTTCCAAGGGACGCTGGCTTCCAGTTAATGCCTGCCGTTCGCTGCCCTGCCAGGAGGATCACGTGTGTCACACCATGATCTTAGTTTCCTCTTTTTCAGTGTCTGCAAGGTCTTTTGCAGATCTGGTTATTTATGCAATAACAGGATTTTAGCTGATGTAGAAAAATGGCACAAAATTATTTTTACTCCCATGATACCTGACCCTAGAGTGCTTTGAAAAGGTGCCCCCCAAATCGTGCGGGTAGCAGTTCTGCTCCTTGCTGAAGGGCTGTTTTCCAATCTCGGAGCCACTGGTGTAAGCTGGAGAGCTTGGGAAACTCTCCTGGAATCACGCTGGACTCACGGCCATGTCACCGAGACCAGAGGCCGGGCCCTGGTGTTATGCACGTGGCACTTCTGGAGTACAAGCTTTTTTTTTTAGTGCTACAAGATATTGCTGGTTATTTAGTATTTTATTCTTTTTTTTTTTTTTTTTTTTTTTTTTTTTTTGCGTGGAAAAAGATGATTTCCACTGACACCAGGACCTTACCTGTACCATTCTCTCAAACATGTGTGCTAAAGGCAAATAGGAAATGTGTACATCCTCACAAGTAGGAGACCACTGACTCTGGAAGAAAACACAAGGAGCCCCACGAGGCCTCGTCAGTTCAGGCAGGTTTCTTACCTGTATAACTCTTTCAAACATGTGAGCCAGAGGCAGGAAGGAGATGAGCACATCGTCCTGTCTCGGAAAGATCACTTTCTGCAGGTGAAGGGCATGGGAGACAGAAAGGAAAGAAACACTGACAGGAAGACAACAAGAAAGTCATAAAACAATAAAAAGAAAAATGGCACCAGAGGAGCAAAAGGGGAAAGATTGTCGAGAGAGGAGGAGAGCAGCGTACGAAGTGAAGCGTTAAGCCACAGCGTCAATGAAGCTCAGTTAGCAGGAGGAGTAAAGAGCACGGAGATGTACACAGAGGGCAACGGAGAGGCCTCTCCATGGCAGAAGGCGTGTCGCATCCACACAGCTCACGCTGGAAACGGAGGCTCACCCGGACAGAGAACCCCATTTTTATCCCTTGCTTTCTCCCACGAGATGCTAAGACCACGATTTGCGCTCTCAGCTGTGTGCAGACCTGCAGGAGCCTGGTGCAACGCTGCAGGAGCCTCCTGGCAATCGGCGGGGCTCTACAGGCGCACCATTCTTCCACGTTGCACAGAGCCCGTCGGAGAGGCACAGTGTTACTGGAGTCAAAGCTATGGGTATTTTTCTTTCCCTTAGGTTAATCATTGATTTGAATCGGAATAAGTTGGGAAAATTAATGATTCTTTTCAGCTGCAAAAATTGAGGATTTCTGTTAGTGCCTTTCATCATTTTAAGTGGTTAAAATGTGACTTTAAAGGCAGTATCACTGCCCCACAGACAGGTGCAGTGGGGAAAAAGAAGGCTGGACAAATCGAGTGAAAAATAAAAATGACCAAAGTCCTCGGTTTGCCAAGGTTTTAATTCTGTCTCGCAGGCTGGAATAAACAAAGGCCCCGAGAGCCTTACCTGATCCATGCCGCAAAAGAAAAGTAGCCTTTCTACCTGCATTTCCAAGGGTAAGCCTTGCCATAATATTATGGATTAGAAAAACTGAAAGCTTGATTACCAAATAACTTGCACCAAAGCCAGTGGTTAGCGGAAAATGGGTATAAAATCTATTATTAGCTCACAGTATTTGCAGTTTATACCCACTTTGCATCTCCACTGCTGTGACAGAATCGATAGTCCGTGACCTGGGACACGGCGGTGGATGGAGGCACAGGAGTTTCTTCCTTGGGGAATATTTCATTGGAGTTAAATCTGGGCAAGTCAGATTTGGGTATGCCCTCCCAAGCATTACTTAGTGAACTCAAACATGATTGCCTATGTGGGTGTTTTCAGCACCCCATTTCATATTATTTTATGTGTCAGTCTGAATTAAGCCATTAGGGCCTGCAGATCTATGTATACGTTATTTCAAATTGGCTTCATTTTCTGCAAGCACAGGAATACGAAACCATTAGCATCACTAGCTATGCTGCTTTTCTTTTTCCTTACACTGCTTTAAGTGCCCAGACAGTAAATGATTTTGGTTTTAAATTGGACCGCAGTGATGACATTGAATAGTATCTCACAGTTGGCACAGTTGTCCAGTTAAACGTAAAAATGAAAACAGCTTCTTGGCATTTCAGAAGAACCTTAGAATAAAGCCCTAGGTTCACTTCGAAAAATGTTCCATTTACAAAAATTACTGAGCTAAGCAAAACTGGCACAAGAATATGTAAACAGAAAATCTACAATACTTCTCAGCTTTAGGTATTTTTATTTTAGTAACAGATACTACTTTCAAATATTTTGCACTTTGCTCGATTTCATTACTGTGGTTAGATTGCCTTAATTGTGTGGATCGGCTACAGGCGTTTATACTCTCACCAACAATCTCTGGTGACCGAAGCTATTGAATTTACAACCGCTTACACCAGACTTACGTCTCAATCTGATACCTTCGAGAATAATCAGTGTCCCATTGCCGTCACTGAACGCTAAATCCATTTCTGCGGGCCAGTCCTGGAAGATGCCAAGTTCCCTCAGCTCCCTCTAAATCAGTTCTCTTCCAAAACAAATGTTCCTGCCCTTGGAAACTCAGACATATCTATGCATTGGCTTTCGTTTGTGCGTCTTGCTGCCTCTGAACCCAGCGAAAGCTCTGCACTGCGAGGCCCGAGGGCTCGCCGCAGCAAACTGCGGGACTGGCATTTCGTCCTGCAAGCTACTGGAGCCGCAACCCTGCAAATACTTGAACACGTGAGTTCAGCGGGATTTCTCACATCATGTGTCCAAGTTTCTTTACAACGGTGGTCTGGAAATCTCAGAAAGTTCAAGGATTAAGGGAATAAGGCTGCAGTATTTTCAGCACCAACAATAAGACCAGCAAGGGGCATAAGGTAACAAATTGTCCATCATGTGTGTACATCGCTACTTTATAGAATTGCCTGTTTGCTACAAATAAAAAAAAAAGATTCTTTATATTTGTTAGGTACAAGCTGCATATAATCCTTAATACGCTGTGCTAAAGCAATTCTGCTTCCTATATGGTTTCTAAACACAAGTTTACACATTGCATGAAACATATGATACGTGTACTTGGCCAGTGCTATGCTTTTTTAAAAATATGTATAATGGAAACCAAGATACACTTTAATATCAATGAAATTAACCATTCTTGCAAAAAAAGTATGTGTTCTTATATATACACACTTTATATGCAGAAAGCTTTCAAATAAATGAGGATGACATTGTGTGGACATCCTTAGAAGTGGACCCTGTAATCTTTTTGAAGCACCAGTTGCAACTGTACAGGGCTTGTTTGCTTTCTTAACTCTTTGAAGGGAGTTAATTGATTTACGGGAGCCAACATTGCTCCTCAGAAGCACTTTAAGCCTTACAGAGCCAGAAAGCCAGTGCTGGAAAGGGGATTTAATGCCCTCCCGTGCTGTAAGCTCAGACCTGCTCCCATTTCCGTGGGTTTGGCCCTCTGAGTAAGAGAAATTTCACCTCTTATCTGCAGGAGCACATTTCCAGCCCGTGCAGGGACACAGCTTAACCCACACACTCTGCAACATTTTCTAAATCAGGGTATTCACCTCCGTCACTTTCAAAAAGCCTGAAAAATCAGCAACCACGTTCCCGTGAGTCAGCATAGCACCTTTGGGGTTTCCTGAAAGGAAACAAAGAGTCATTTTAAAAGATGAGCCAGTAGGTAATGTCCAAAAGCTTAACAAAAACCAAACCAGGAAATGGTTAAAATACTAAGTTCCCTTTTTGAATTTTAAAACATGTCATTTTCGCAGTCATTTCTGTACAGTAACATGCACCAAAACCACTTATTGCAATCCTCAAAATTTGATAGAATGATACTGTAAACACGGTGTAACGTGAATATTTCTGTTGGAGACTCTGAACAACAGCTTCCACCAGAAATAGCCCAACGGCAATTTATGAGAGTACTCAGATGGAGCTGCTCGGTAAGCACGGCCATCAGACCTGGCTGGCTGTTCCCAGCCTCTCCAGGTAGGATTTATTTCATACAGATTTTGACTAAGAATGATCTTGAATACCAACAAACCCCATTTAAAAGGTTATTAAGCTCTTAGCCAGTGCACTGGATAACCTGAGCAATGCAGAAAACAGGTAATACATGGCAACAATGAGGCTACAAGACGACCCTACGAGACTGCAATTAAGGGAGGTCATTAATATTGTCAGCAGTAGAGCAGAAATGTCCTGGAGACAGGGGCAGGGAGCTGGCAAAGCCTCGACGTATCACCCCAGCGCTTGGCGCTGCGCCTGCAGCGTTGCACCGGCCGCCCGCGCGGGCAGCTCCGCGCTGTCGCTATTTGCTTTTTCACTCTCTTTTCCGAGCTGAGAATCCCCCTTCGCACCACAATGCATCTTTTGCATTTCGTATCTGTTCGTACGCCAAAATGCAGGGTTTGTTAAATAGCAAACGCACAGGCTGAAACCTCCGGGCGCACAAACCAGAGCCGAGGGCCCCATCCGAAACGCTCTGCCTGCAGCGCTGGCACGCGGGACGATTGCCCCCCTGCCACAGCCCTGTCCCTTTTCATCACCCTCAAAGGGTTTATTTCCGAAAAGAAGGTGTAGCTCAGCTCACATAAAGATTACAGAGCCAGCCTCTCTCTCCAGTGCATTTTTAAGCAGATTGTTTTAATTCGATCACACCACTGCAGCGTAGC